GGGGGGGGGGGGGCTCAACTACCAAGGAGATGGACTGCCTGCGGGGTAGCATTGATTGCCCAGATTGATGTATCCAAATCTAGTGTTTTTTTTTTTTTAAGCTCGTTTTGATATTTGCCTTGAAGCTGGGGGGTGAGGGGGTGGCTCAACTACCGAGGAGGTTGACTGCCGTGGGGGAGCATTGATTGCCCTCTCGCCAAGGAGATTGACTATCCAAATCTGTGACGAGGTGAAGCAGACTGTGCAACCAATCATGGAGACACCAGCCCATACATCGACATGTTTCTTTCTGTCAATTTTTTTCAGTTGAACGGCTGGAATTGCAGATGGAAAAGCTTAAGGGCATTGTCCCATGTTCTCACTGTCTCTCTTTTGATCATTGCTTTCTACACCGAGAGGTAGCACTAAAGTTGCTTGTTGATAACTGAAGCATGAAGTCTAGATTGGGGCCTGTAGTTCCTGCTGGTGATTGTCCAATTCAGTGTATGTCATTTTTGAGGGTTTTCCTAACTAGACCATGATAAACCTCGCGCGCCATGTCAGCTCTGAGTGTGGGTTTTTTTGGAGCAGCTCTTTGATTTCCGTATCAGTTCTTTGGTCTTTCTCTATTCGCAGAGAATTTCCTCTTCGAATACCGGGCGGAGGGGGGCAGGCGAGGGGGCGCAGAGGGGGCAGGAGTGGATTGGGGGCAGTTTGTCCTACTGGAGGTTGGGGGAGGTGGCCAGAGAAGGGGGATTTGACAGTGGTCTTCGCAGGCGCACATCTTCTTCTTTCTTTGAGTTATTGGACTGCAATGTAGCCTGGATTGTGAAAGAAATAAACAAGACTAGGAGCACAAAAAAAAAAAAAAAAAAAGAACATGAATGCGGTCAAACAGCATCCAAAAGAACAACATCCAACGGCATCTTGCCACATGAGTTGTCAAAAGAAACAACACTGATAACAGGTTCAGCACAGCGAGACAAGAGATAATCGACCCAGGGGATTAACTCAGGGAATTGAAAAACGACCATGAAACCTATCCTGTCCTAATCAGACGCAACACAAACTACAGAAGTCAGCAAGACTTCACGGTGCGGAGGCGACATATAGAAAACACACGAACACATCTTCCCGAATGAATCTAATACTCAGTCCGCATTTATTTGAAGCAGAAGCAGCAGCAGAAAGAAGTCGAAGAAGAAGAAGGCGGAGAATTAGCACTGAATCTACACGTTGTATGTGTGTGTGTGTGTGTGTGTGTGTGTGTGTGTGAGAGAGAGAGAGAGAGAGAGAGAGAGAGAGAGAGAGAGAGAGAGAGAGAGAGAGAG